CACCTTTTACTGATGACTATCTTGCCTTCATCCTCCCTAGGAGGTGTTTATGTTTTCTGAAAGTTACTGTTGCAGAAGCTGCAAATGTTTCCCTCCAGCCTAGCTTCTGCCTAGGCACTGCCCACTGCAATTTGGCATAGGATGTGTTTTTATTGTTCGTTTAGTAGCTCAGATTATAATTCTGCAACAGAACAAATGTTCAGGAGTGGTGTCAGGATGATACCCAACTTCTGTGCAAATCGCTGCGTTTAAAAATTCCTATGCTGCAGGAAATAATAACCCAGGTAAGGCTTCACCTGTCCTCATCTGTTTTGGTTGTGTCCCATCTCCTGCCCACGCATACACAAACATCCTTTCAAGTAGTATATTCTCCTTCTTTTCCTCATCACTTTTTTTTTGCCAGTCTGACTGAAGGAATTTCACAGCATTTTTTTTTCCGGTTGACTTTAAGCTGTATCCTTTCTGAATCAATCATAACTACAGAAGAGGAAGGCAGAACCTATTCTGTTATTTGCACTGTCGAGCAAAATTGACACCAGTTTCAAAATTTAGTCTTTTGCTATTGTCAGAGACAGAATCACGCTGAACATTTGCATCACAGAAACAGCTGACTTTTGTTTGGTGAGGGTGACGGAATGCTTAAGAACTCTTTTAAAGTCTAACTCATTCTTCTGTTTTGTGTATAATGCTTGTATATTGTTTTAAGACCCATTTGTAACTTTTGAAGGGCTTCTCTGCGCATACATGAACATCACTCACATTGGGTAAATGTTACAAATACAACTTAAAATTGTTTAATATTCATTTTTTCCTTTCTTGTAATTGAAGACAATGACCTGTTCAAATCATTACTGCATTTAGCCACATCAGTTGCTTAGCCACATCTGTTTATGGTCAGAAAGAAAAAAAAAAAAGCAGAAAGGTTTATTTGGTGATACAGGCTCTTGGAGTGAGAAAGGAGGTTGTGCTCAAAGTCAAGGATGCACTTGCAAATGCACTAGCTTGAGATGCTGCTCAGCATCTTGCAGGGAAGCTACTGCAAAGAGGTCATTTGAATTACTACTTGACTGGATGTCACAGAAGCGTTCTCTCTCCCAAGGGTTGAAGGTGCTTTAAGAAGTCTCCTGTTCAATCAGACCCCCTTTTTTTTTTTTCCAGCCCCCTTCCGAGGGGAAGCTGGGTGCAGTTGAATATGATGCTAGTCCCAGATTTGGTTAATAGTTTATGCCTACAAGGTGCAAATCAGGCAAGCAGATTTGGTTCTGGTCCACAGCACAATGTATTGGCACACCTCCTAGCCATCAAGCTGGATTCATAAAGCATGGTTAGACCTCTGCAACAACTACTAAACTGTCCATTGATCTCTTAAAATTATTGAGGCATTATTCAGCAATTTTGCATGTCAGTATGAGAGAACTGCTACACTGTGAAGAATAGATGACTAAGTCCAGAAGCCTAAATGCACAAATCACTTGCCCAAAGGATCAGCCTCGAGGAACTACCTGAGGCGGCCATATCCCAGCCTGAGAGGGAGTTCTCTTCTGCAGACCTGCCGCTTCCAAGAACTTGGCTCAGACTCTGATTCACGGGTTAGTTTTATACCCAAGTTAAATAGGGTTGTCGTCAAGAACGTTTTAGATAGTTTCACTAACCTCAGGGTTATTGCTTCAGTAGAAATTGCAGTCATTGTATTCTTTGTGTCAGCAAGCTCGACAGCTGGAAATAATGGAATGTCTGTGTTGGGAGGCTTTGGCTTCCTTACTGATCCAGTGTCCCTTTGAGAGAGGAAGAGGGACTGAAAGTGCACCTACCACGCCTGGACTCAAACCTTTGCATGTGGCTGCACAAATGCATTTGTATCTGTGAATACAGCAAGGATCTGTGATAGCAGTAAAGAAGGGCCATGTTTGAGTGACTCTATTATTAGCAAGAGCTGCTAAAAGCCCTGATGTTCTGCGGCTCTGGAGGTAGCAGCTAGCAGCAAATACTTGTTCCTACTATTGTTAGTGAGCTGGGTTTTTTCTTTTCCTGACATTTAAAGGTCAGTAGAAGGACAACAGACACCAGCTTTCAAAGATAACAAAAGGGGCAATCTTTACAGTGATATATCACTGTCTGCTTCTAAGAGGACATACCTTTCTTGTTTGTGGGCTTTCCTCTCACATATTGAGGTCTCTATGGCAGCAGCAGCATCCTTTAACAGCCATCTGTTGTTGGCCTAGAGAATCTGATTTGAGTCCTGGGAGGATTGTGGCAGGGAAATAGCACCTCTGCAGGGCAGATGAAACTACAGAAGAGGATTAAAGACTAAGGAAATAATTTGCAATCTTTGGGTTAGACTTAAAACAAATGGGACTGAAAAATTGGGGAACACCAAGTGTGTGCTTAAGCTGGAGGGCTAATCACTGCTTCACTTATGAAGAGCAGTGGTGCTATAGGTCCTAAAGTGACCTGCAAAATCAACATGCTGCGCACTTGTGCAGCACCTTCAGACCAAAGGAGATTTAACATGTTTGATAAAAGTGCTAGGGAAATTACTTGACCATAGGAAGTGTTTGTTATGTATCCTGCAGGTTCTAGGCATACAGGCTTTAAAGTTGTTTTTTTGTTTGTTGTTTGCCCCTCCCCCCCCCCTTTTTTAATACTCTTTAAGGGAACCTCTTATTTTAAAAAATATGCAGTCAGTATTTAGGATCTGTAATTCCCTTTGTTATTGTGACAGAGGAGTACTTTGAAGCAGACAAGACATCTAAACAGCTTTTTAAAGTTTTTCAGTTAGAATAGTGCATTTAGTTTCAAGCACCTCATTATCAAGAATTGGCGAAAGCTCGGAGTGACAAAAATTACTAAGGGACAGAGATTGATTTATGAGGCGTTGTTAGAAACAGCTAAATTATGCATGTCTCAGCTAAGCCATGACTATATAAGAAGATGAGACTATATATGAAGTGTAAACATTGTTCAAAGAAAGGGATTTTATAATTATGTGTGCTGGGATATGGCTAAAAGTAGAGAGATAAAATTAGCAAAGAGGAAAAAAAACTTGAGATGAATATCAAGGAAATCTTGAGACTGAGACATGGTGTGGAAGAATCTCTTAGGAGAAAGGGTGAAAACTGTATTGCTTGAGGCTTTAAAGGAGACTGGGCATAATAGTAAATACGCTGCAAGATGAAGTTTAGAAGAGGTGAAAAGACTGCTCTACCTAAATTAGTCAGCTGAAAATTTATTCTGCTTTTGCTGCGTGTGCACATCACCTAGCACTATTTGAAAGGATGGAAACTATTACTTGAAAGGATTTTTCTAGGAGTAACCAAAATGTGCTTATTGCCCTCAAAAAGGAATTGCAATTCAAACACTGAGGAGTTGAGGGATGGTCGATATCGACCCTTTGGGCAAGTGTGATTGGGTCCCTTCAGAGCGTGTTGTTGTCTTCAGTGAGAGGACCTCTGCTCATCCACGGTGCCCAGGTGTGGCAGTCAGGAAAGCTCCTACTCTGCCTGGGGCCAGAACGTGCCCAGCAAGAGGTGGAATGGAGCAGCTGCCGATCTGACAGCCCCTGCTTAGCAGCTGTGGCTTTACCTTCCTGCAAAGGCATCCATGGCCATCATGGATAGGGTTTGTATAAAACTTGACAGAGGGCTTACCCCATTTGGAACTTCAGGTCCTGTATTGGCACCTGGGCAGGAACTTTCTACAAAGCTTATTTGGGGGCTGTTCTCACCATGATGCGTGGCCGTTTTCAATCTGAACGATTGCTTGTAATAAGAGAATTTTGCTAAACTGAGGCTGCCATAATGTGATTTAGCTGTTGGGCAGTGTTATGTCTTATGTCCTGAGTGAGCAAATGATAAGCACCTAACTGTGATCCTGGTAAGAGCTCACATGTAAGTGAATAGAAGACTTGAATTAAAGGTGAGCAGACTAGAACTCTTCTAATTCTAATAAATCTTTCCTGAAGTAGGCATTCGTGCTTCCTCTGTTTAGTGAGACCACACTTGCCTGATTATTCACACACATCAGAATTGTTGAGTTGGAACCAGTTGTTATGGATTGCTTAAAGACTATTTCACTGCCTGGGAATTCTAATGAAAGTTCTCACTTTTTGTCTTTACAGCAGCAAATCCCTTGCTTTGCTCTACTGCCCGATTCCACTGTAAAAATGGTCTTTGCATTGATAAAAGCTTTGTGTGTGACAATCAGAATAATTGCCAGGACAACAGTGATGAAGAAAGCTGTGAAAGCCCTCAAGGTAGGATTGGGGTTTTATTCTGTTCTGCAACATTATACCAACTTCAATTAATGTGGAACAGGTTCAGAAGAAAATGGGATTCTTCTGGCTTACTCTGCTTTGGGTAGAACTGCTGTTTCCTAATCCTGCAAATAACACAAGTGAAACATGCAGGGTGTATGGGAGTTTTTCGTTCTGAAGGCTCAGAAGACTGCTGAGATCTCTTTCAGATTAGTACAAATGCACTTTTACAGGAAATGCTTATAATCTGTGATCCAGTGCTCACTGAAGTCACTGAGAGTCCATGAGAGATCATTTAGACCCAGAGGATCAATAATAAAATTTTATTTTGAAGTAGTTCAACAGTATGCCCATTTCCTAGATGAGTAACTCTGTTTAGATTTAATTTAGATCTTTAATGCTTGTTTACTTTCTACAAGGTAAGTTTCGCTGTAGGACAAGTCTGCAATGAAGGGATTTACTCTTACCCATCCTCAGTTTTGTATCTAAATAAAAAGGTAAGGCCAGGGAAGAATTTTTTTTACTACTGTTTTTAAATTAGTCTGTATCCAATTTTGTGAGAATTTTACAAAACAATCTATCTTTTATTTTTCTTTTTAATTTCTGTTATAACTACATTTGATGCTCCTCAGTTTTGTTTTCTATGACTTCATTCAATGGCATTCTATAAAACATGAAATACATATGAACTAAGCTTGAATGATACATGCTGGGCGTCATCTGCTAAACCTTTTTATGTCTGAGTAACTATTGAGAGATCAGAGTAGAGATGAAATGGAAAGTGCAGGGTCATTTGAAGAAGTGGTGCAGAATACTTGGGCCCATAGTGAGCAGGAAGCACAAAGAGAGAGCGTGGCATGAAAGCAGATGAAATTAGGAAAATTGAGAGTATGACTTTAATATCTGTCTGTGCTGATGATTTAGTCCATTAAAGACAAGACAATTAAAACAGTGAAAAATATTATTGATGAAACCTTGCTCCTCAATGTTAGAGGAAGAGGGAAAAACATGCAACAGCAATGCCACCAAAAATGGTATATAGTGATAAGGGTATTTGACAGTTTCTCTTCCAGGCAACTTCTCTGCTTAACCTATGAGCTCTTTCCTTTTGCTTGATATCTGAAAGTGAAGTGGGTCATCTTAGTACTTACCTGCTTGCTGGGCTCTCTCTCTCATCCTTTGAAATGCCCTGTTCAAGCAGAGCCTCCAAGGGAAGTGCTTGGCCTGCTCTCTGCTTAAACTCTCTGGATGGAAGGAAAGGACTTCTGAGGGACTAAAACTTATATTATACTGCCACTGCAGTAATGCTGTCACCACTGTGCTGAGGGCTGAAGTGTTTTTCATTGTAGGCCTAAGGCAGCCTAATAAGATTAACATGTATGGTAAGGGTTTGTTGTGTGTGTGTGTGTGTGTTTTTTTTTTTTTTTTTTAAGCCTTAAACATCAGTATTCTCTTCCAAGGTTGGGATGGCTGAATCCTCTGCAGATTAATTGGCTGGATTGCCTCCAAGTTGTTTGTTGTCATGACAATCTGCTTTTGGAAGTGCCTGTCAGGCTCAGGAGAAGAAAAGAGCTGTGTTTCATGAAGCTGTAACTTTGTCTATACCTTTGCTCCTCTGGAAAAGTCAGACTAGTAAAATGGTTAAGCAAAGTAGTTCTGTCTGTTCATGAAAGAACATGAGAAAAGAAATGAGAAAAGCAATTCTCTTTCATTAGGACCCTAGTAGTAATGGCATATTAAAAAAAAAAAAAAAAAGGTTGAAAGGAAGGAAAATTGGGCCCAAAGTACAAGATTAGGAATAAAAATTTTCTGAAGTTCTAGCTCTATCTGTGTGCAATTGTGTCTGTACTTTGGCAGTTCAGAGTTTTCCCTGAATTGTCATTTCCCATCTGCAAGTGGATGATGCTTCTGTACCTGTCCTTCAAAACAAGGATTAAACAGTATAATGTGCTCAGCTTTCCCATCTGAATATAAATGAAGCTTCCCTCCCGAGTTGGCCATTATGGATATGTTGGTCCTGGCTTCCAAGGATACAAAGGACTTTGTGTTAATTGAGAATGAGAGGCTATTGAGGACAGTCCTTCATTTCCCACCAGTCTTTCTACGGCAGATCTGATTACAAACATTATGATGAGCTTCATGTTAACATAGCACCCAAGAATCCTAGACATTAAATGGAATGTAGCTGTTCTGGATACTTAGGGACAGAGCAAGGGTGGCAACCTGTTATGTATTATAAAATCAAGATAGAGTATTTTCTTTCCACTAGCCATGATATGTAAGAGCTTTAATTCTTAGTGTAATTGAGTGAAGTCTCACATACAGGATTACCCTTGTATGCTATTTTTCCCTTTGCAAAAAAAGTTGATTTAGCAAACAGTAAGCTTCTGAACCACTCCTTATTGTAGGATAGAGTCATTATTTAACAGATGGGGAAAATGAGGCACAGAGCAACTCCACAAAATGCCCCCAGAGTACCATCCTGGCAGATAAGCATAGATGAGGTCTACTCCTATCTGCTTCAGGGGAATGTTGTGAGACTTAATCAATGTTAGCAAACTGTTTTGAGATACCCTGGTAACATGTGGAATAGAAGTGTGAATTATTAATTGGTACTTTGCTGTCTTTCTGCTCTTGGGTATACTGACAATCTTTTTAAATTAACACCTCTTCCTACTCCTCCATGAACTTCAAAGGCCTCCTTTATCCTGCTGTCATTTTAGAAAAGCTCCAATAGCATATGTGTTTGCTTTGTGTCAGGTACTCCTCCATGCATAAAGATCCTTTCAATCAAGGATGGTCACTGGGCAGGTTAGGCAAACAGGAATGTAACCCCCTACTGAAAATTGTGTTGACCTGGCTTTGATATAGGAGACTTCAAAACGAGCTGTCCTTGGTGAATGATAGCTTTGCTGGGACATTGCATTTTGAGATGAACCTGAAGCTATGGATTTATGAAGTTTAATTTTGGTCATAACTAGGGGTAGAGTAGAACCATTTGAGAAGGAGAGAGGCCCCAAGACTTAGTCACAAAAGAGGGAGGAAGGTCAAACTCTTTTGAAGACAATTTCCTGCCCTTTTTTATTCCTTACCACTTATAATGAAGTGTTGTTCACTTATATAGGCTTTCATGTCATGAGGGAGTGTCAGTTTAAAAACTTAAACCATTACAATTTAGAAGCAAGTCAAATGATTCTGCTCTCTTTCTTGACAGTAATTAGTTGTAGTTGTTGTAGCTGCCGTGATAATCCACCAAGCTGCTGCTTTAATCTCACCCCAGCTACATTTCTGTCATCTCTGTTTTCTAGCTGTAAAACAGAATGGCTGGGCTTTTCTCTTAGTCCAGAATATAGTGCCCCACTCTTAGGAGTGGGTAAAGGCTATAACTGCTTGTATTAGCCCCTATGTCTGCATGCGTGTGCCTAGTGTGAAATAGTTCTTCCTAGGGCATTTTTCTAGTTTTAACAACACTTGCAGTGATTATAATTTCTCTTCCTCCTCTATGTTTAATGTTTCTTAATTCAAGAAATTTCCTCTTCCCCATGCACTTTTCTTGTATTTCAAAATCTTTCCCCATTCCTTAGATTAACTGATGGTGATAATTGTTCAGAGCAGCTGGTGCTCTGTACTTGTCTGATCTGCCTGTTTTTTAGGAGGGGGTGGATTTCCTCCTGGTTCCACTGAATTAGAAGAGCATTCCATGTTCTTTTTCTGTCTTCCCTTCATATTTTTCAGCTAGGTGAATTTGTTCAGCTTTAGGACAGTGTTTAAGTTACACCCTTAATCGCTTTCTAGTGTTTCTTCCTTTCCATTTTCTCATCTGTTTTAGACCTTTTATTCTAGAAAGATTTAGCAGCAACAAAAGAAGTGTATTGGCTATTTTGATTCAAGCTTGTCTTTCTTTCATGGCTCTTCTTTTCTTTCCTTTAAAGTTTGCTAAATACCCTTATTAGTTTTAACCCCGTTGCCTAGGAAAGGGCTTTCTTTTTTTTATTGCTGCAAGCCTGTATTCACTGTGACTGGTGCTGTAGAGGCCCTTGGCTTCAGTAATGTTTCTAACATTTTAGCTCTTTGGTTGTTAGTAAGCAGTGCCACTGTGGTCAAGTTACAGACCAAATGTATCACAAGGAGGCCTGAAAGTGATTCCTGCCCTACTTTTCTGCAGTATTCTGTTGATACCCAATGTTGCACGTGTGGATACCTGCCTTTCTTTCTCCCCAAGTGGCTTATTTTTTTAATGGAATTTGAATTAGAGTTTTGATATTACCCAAAATTCTAAAACACACTTAGAAGCATACACGACTGACAAAAAAACTGTTCTTTCTTCTGTGGCATATATAAATTGCTGATATTAAAAATTGGCAGCATTTTGTGCATTGAAAATTCTGGCGCTGTGTCAAACAAGTCAAGTCAGCTCCAAATTTTCATTTATTAAAATTGATTGTTAAGTGATAAATTCTACTGTAATCTTTAAGTCCCGTTGCTGATGCTTGCATGCACATTTGGGTGGGGTTTGCATCATCAACCCGTTGCTGGTGTTTGTATAACACAAAGTGGGTTTTAAAATGGACAGCCAAATGCAATAGACATACTCTGAATTTGCAATGAAATAACATAATACCTAAGTAAAACATAAATAGCTCCTAGAAAATCCCACTCCATGTGGTGCTTGTAACCAGCCCTTTGCATGTGTCAAGCTGAATTCCTGCACTCCCAAATGCTGTGGTATCACTTAGACAACCAAAGCCTCATAGTCTGATTCTGGCTGCCCCCATTTCCTTTTACTGAGTCTCTTTGACTCATTATTTACACAGCTTGTAAACTGAAGCTTAGCTTGTAATTGCTGTATATAAGCGTGGCCCAAATTTAGCCCACAGCTGGAATTTAACACTCAGAGGCAGACTAAATAGAAGCAGGAACTTAAGAGTGGATACAAATAAAATGTCACCGAATGTTTTACTAAGTAAGGCTATGCCTGAGCATATTTAGCAGTCTGAAAT